AATGTGTTCTTTCACGATGTGATGCCTCAGAAAACTGCTAACCCACAATAACTACTCCTATCCACCTACCTTGGCAGATAACCTCTCACCAATAGGAAGAGAAACTCCCAGAGTAGATGGATCTGTTTCACCCGTGGATAGAAAATTTTTCTGTATATATACACATTAAAAAAATATATTACCTAATTGCTTTATAAAATGGTTCATAAATGTGTCTTTACACTTTATATTCTAAACTATTACATTATGCAAAGCAAAAGAATAAAATGGAGATAAAGACAAAAATTACAAATCTAGAGAGACCATACCAAAAGTAATTAGAAAAAAAGAAATTTATCAATTTTAATCAACAATTCCTTGAAAGGGAGAATTGGGCCTTAATTTTCATTCATAATGCAGATACATCTATTTATTCAAGATGATTAAAAGCATGGAAAAAAATGAAACAATTCCAGTTTATATTCCGCTTCTAAGTACATATTCTTCATTTTCAGTTCTCTATTGTTCTTTTGTTTCTAAAGCAAATTTAAACTTTCTCACAAATATCTTTAGGTTTGCTACAATAATGTTTTTTCCTTATTGTTATATGAGTGGATCTCTACTCAAATGCCAGAAAATATCATCTACGAATGCTGTTTCTTTATGAATCCCTCCAGTCTTGTTCATTAAGCATTTAATTTCTGCAGTGTAACAGATGATCATTAGACTATGAGTCAAAAGACCTAGGCTCTATGACTAGCCCCAGAACACTGATCAGCTGTGTAACACAGAAAGTAAGTTAACTTTTCCGACACAGACTTTTCTTCCATAAAATGAGAATGGCATCTGCTCTAACCTACCTACTAAAGCTGATATGAGGATCATGGAGAATAAAATATGTAAAATCTTTTAACATTATAAAGCAAATATAAGGGACTAGGAAAAATATATCTACTCCCCAAATTTTGGTATTGCAACTTAGTAGTCAAATTATGTGGAATGTACTCCTGCACTTCTCTGCCCTGTTCCTTTGCCTGGAGGGAGAACAGACAGAATGTGCCATCTATATAACTAAGTTATGAGGATTACATCAATCAATACTTACTAAGGTGCCTAGCTTCAAACCATTTACGTATTAACTACATAAGCAATTACTGACCACCTATACTCTCCAGGTACTATTTTACATGGTAGAGACAAAGATATGTGTGTGTTCCCGATATTCAAGAGACACACAATTCAGATGGGGAAACAGGAATGTAAAGAAATATCAGTAACTATGGGACCAGCAGTTGGCATTAATAGCTATGTCGCTGGACTCCCACATAGTCTACCACAGTTCAAGCTCCGGACCCGGTGGCTTAAACTCACGCCCAGGCGCATGTGCGTGTGTGCCCAAGATCCCAAGAGGAGAATGGAGGAGAAGAGATTACAGCTTGGCCATCCCCTCTGGGGGGTGATTTCTTGCTTTCTGTTTTTCTGTCTCTGTCTTTCTAGCGAGTACATGTACCCTATAGCAAAAACCTCTCAAAAAAAAAAAAAATATATATATATATATGTATCAGTAACTACAATACGATGTACAGTAATTAATATGTTCATGTTAAATTCAAAATATTATGGGAATACAGTGATGAATAAAACTAAGAGATTAATAAAGTTTCATTAAGTCTGAAATTACAAATAAATTATGCTATAAAAGCTAATTTGATTGGTTATATGGAACATTACACTTATTTGACAGAGAAAACAATAAGACATGACCCTCAGTCACCTTATTGTTTATATGTTTAAGTTATAAATGCATGAAAAATACATTCAAAGTTCCAGCCCTGAAAAGACAGATACAAATATCCTCACTCCTTCATTGGGCAGTTCCTTCCTCCCAACATAGGCCTAGGATAATGTCTGAAATTTTCAATAAAATGAAAAACAGAATAAGAACAACATACTGTGTTTTTCAAAAAGCTGAATTTTTAGACCAGCAGTTAGCATAATGGCTATGTCGCTGAACTCCCATGTAGCCAACCACGGTTCCTGGACCTGGTGAATTAAACTCACACCGGGCGCGTGTACATGCATGCCCCAGATCCTGAGAGGAGAATGGAGGAGAAGGGATTGTGGCATGGCCATCCCTGCAGGGGGTGATTTCTGGCTTTCCATATCTCTGTCTCTCTGGCGAGCGCACGCGCCCTGTAGCAAAAATCTCTCAAAAAAACAAAAAAAGCTGAATTTTAATCATTAACTCATCCATTCGATAAATGATGAGTGATTATTATGTACTCAAATTATTTGATACATTTGGGACACATCATAAAGAGAACAGAAAAAGGGAACCAGCAGTTAGCGTAATGGCTATGTCGCTGGACTCCCACGTACCTCTCCCTTAAAGCAAAAACCTCTAAAAAAAAAAAAAAATATATATATATATATGTATCAGTAACTACAATACGATGTACAGTAATTAATATGTTCATGTTAAATTCAAAATATTATGGGAATACAGTGATGAATAAAACTAAGAGATTAATAAAGTTTCATTAAGTCTGAAATTACAAATAAATTATGCTATAAAAGCTAATTTGATTGGTTATATGGAACATTACACTTATTTGACAGAGAAAACAATAAGACATGACCCTCAGTCACCTTATTGTTTATATGTTTAAGTTATAAATGCATGAAAAATACATTCAAAGTTCCAGCCCTGAAAAGACAGATACAAATATCCTCACTCCTTCATTGGGCAGTTCCTTCCTCCCAACATAGGCCTAGGATAATGTCTGAAATTTTCAATAAAATGAAAAACAGAATAAGAACAACATACTGTGTTTTTCAAAAAGCTGAATTTTTAGACCAGCAGTTAGCATAATGGCTATGTCGCTGAACTCCCATGTAGCCAACCACGGTTCCTGGACCTGGTGAATTAAACTCACACCGGGCGCGTGTACATGCATGCCCCAGATCCTGAGAGGAGAATGGAGGAGAAGGGATTGTGGCATGGCCATCCCTGCAGGGGGTGATTTCTGGCTTTCCATATCTCTGTCTCTCTGGCGAGCGCACGCGCCCTGTAGCAAAAATCTCTCAAAAAAAACAAAAAAAGCTGAATTTTAATCATTAACTCATCCATTCGATAAATGATGAGTGATTATTATGTACTCAAATTATTTGATACATTTGGGACACATCATAAAGAGAACAGAAAAAGGGAACCAGCAGTTAGCGTAATGGCTATGTCGCTGGACTCCCACGTAGTCGACCGCGGTTCGTGTCCCGGACCCGGTGGCTTAAAACTCACGCCAGCCGCGTGTGCGTACGTGCCCAAGATCCCGAGAGGAGAATGGAGAAGGGAATGCGGCGTGACCATCCCCCCTGGGGGGTGATTTCTCACTTTCTGTCTCTATGTCTCTCTCTGTCTGGCTGGCGAGCGCACGCGCCCTACAGTGAAAATCTCTCAAAAAAAAAAAAAAAAAAAGAGAACAGAAAAAGATCCCTGCTCTCCTAAAGCCTACACTCAAGAAGAGAAAGTTAACAAGAAATAATAAACACAATAAAGAGGATATAGAATGTAAGGTGTTGATTACTGCTGTGACAAAAATAAAAAGAAAAAGAACAGACTACAGATACTGCACATTCTAGGGGATGAGGGTGGAAATAAGGGAAATCAGGAGTTCTCTTTTGGACATGTTCTACATATAACACCAGTAAAATTTCTAAGTGAAAATGTCGAGTAGGCAACTAAACACAGAAGTCTGGGGCCAGCCAGTGGCATGGTGGTTAAGATAGCTGGATCATACATTGTCAGCTGCACAGTTCTGAGTCCAGACCAGGTAGCTTAAAAAACATGCCAGGCACATGTGCATGTGTGCCCAAAAATTCTATGAGAAGAACAGAAAATAAGGGAATGTGATGTGGTTATGTCCCTTGAGGGTGTCTCTCTGTCTCTCTCTCTCTATCTCTAACACGTGTAAATGCCCTGTAGCAAATTTTTTAAAAAACAGATAAGTCAGGACCAGAAGTTGGCATAATGGCTATGTCACTGGACTCCCATGTAGTCGACCGCGATCCAAGTCCCGGAATTGGTGGCTTAAACTCATGCTGGGCACATGCACGTGTGTGCCCAGGATCCCAAGAGGAGAATGGAGGAGAAGGGATTGTGGCATGGCCATCCCCACGGAGGGTGATTTCTTGCTTTCTGTCTCTGTTTCTCTCTGTCTTTTTGGCAAGCACACGCACCCTATAGCAAATACTTCTCAAAAAAAAAAAAAAAAAGAGAGAGAAAGAAAGAAAGAAAGAAAACAGATAAGTCTGAGGTTCAGGCCAGAAGACTGAGATAGTAATTTACTAATTCAACTTAAAAACTTTCTGAGAACATGTCCGAAATCTGCACTGTTAGATGGTCAAAAATACTTTATTCTACAAACTAGAAAGAAAATCGTATTTGTTTGTTTTAGTAGCTCTTCTTGACAAAATTTTAAAAATTTGATTATTTTACATTTAAATGTCCATGCAATCTAAAAGTCTAGAAGCCACAGGAGATCTCAGAAGAGTGGGACTTGGAAACCAGACATATTCCAGGAAGCTGCAGCCACCTTCCCACATCATATATCATTTTCGTTTTCCTTTGTTTTTCTTTCCACTCCCACCTCCTCAGTTGTCAGAGTGTCTCTTTCACTTTAAGGGAACATTGCCCTTTATCACAACTATATTCTAGATAATCAAACACCACCAAAAGAACTCCTTCACATACCTTTGAACTTAAAGATTTGAGCAACTTGACTTCTCTCATTTCTTTTTTCTTAAATAATTTTTAAATTTCATTTATTATCATCATTATTATTTGTTTAATTTGACCAGATAAAGACAGAGAGAGAAAAAGGAAAAGTAGGAAAGCAAGCCTTCAGGTCCTGGACTTAAACCATGGTCAGCAGTGTGGGGGTCCAACACCTTAACCACCACGCCACCTGCTGGCCCCTTCTCTCACTTTCATAGAGATAATTTCTTCTTATGCCCCACACCCCCACCATTCACCTCACTCAATAAGGAGACAGGAAAGGGTAAGATAACAAGGTACAAATCCAGGAAGTCAGGCTGGGGCAGAAAAGATACACCATACTAAGGGATTTGAATTTTTATCCTGAAGGCACTAACATACTTAAGTCAGTTAAATCCATTCTGGAAACCAGCATGGAAAATGGTCTAAGAATTAGGGCAAAGAGGTCAGTTAAGAAGCTATAGTAGTAGTTTAAGAAAATAAGAGTCTCTAACATGCAGAACCAACTGGTCTAAAATAATTTTCATACTCTTCACAGGCTACTAAGAAAGTAAATGTTTCACCCCTACCTGTCACACAAGTTAAAAATTAACTGCCTTCTAACCTGATCCTGTTCTATCTGTTGGATCATCGGAAAAGTCGTGATGCAATTTTGCTTTTCTGATGACCCAATACATCATTTCTTTAAAAAAAAAAAAAAAAAGAATTTTATTTATTATTTTTAATTTGACCAGAGAGAGTCAGACAAGAGAAAGGGAAAGTGAGAAAGCAAGCCACCAGGTCCAGGAGTTGAACCATGGTCAGCCATGTGGAAGTTCAGCACTTTAATCACCACATCACCTGCCGGAGCCTACATCATTATGTGGTAAGCACTCACAAAAAGAATTTTACTCTGACCCCGTCAGGCTAGTAAAGCTAATACGCCTTATTCAGAAAAATTTTAAATCTATTCTGTAAGTCATTTTTCATTTTATATTTTCCATCTGAAAAATTTTCTCTCCTTGATCTTCCCTCTAGATAATGCTAATTCTACCTATCCCATAAGCCTTACAAAATAACACCTCCTACAATGAGGCCTTTCCTGATCAACACACCCTCGAAGTTACCACTTTCTGAACTGTGTGAATGTTATTTTTACAACTAGACTCTAAGCCTCTTAAAGACAGGGTTAGGAACCAGCAGATGGTGTAATGGTTACACGTCACTGGACTCCAATGTAGCTGACTTCAGTTCAAGTCCTGGACCCGGTGGCTTAAAATTCACGTCAGGTGCATGTGCATGCATGCCCAAAATCCCAAGAGGATAATGGAGGAGAAGGGATTGTAGCATGGCCATCTCCTTCTGCCCCCCAAGAAAGTGATTTCTCGCTTTCTGTCTGTCTCTCTCTCTCTCTTACTGTCTCTCCAGCAAGCGCATGTTCCCTATAGCAAAAATCTCTTAAAAAAAAAAAAACAGGAACCTACCTATTCATGTTCATGATAAGTGTTTTCAAAACGCTGGTTGAATGGTGAATGAATCTGTGAGACTTTTTTAAAAAAGAGTTTGGAGGCCAGTAGGTGGTATAGCAGTAACACAATACACTGTAATGCTGAACCAACAAGGAAGGTCCTGGGTTTGCATCCCAAGACCTCCCTGTATACAATGGGTACATGCCTGTGATCTCAGCTGGCTGACTCTAGGAGTGGATCACATCATGAGGATGTTGTTGGGTATCCCATCTCTCACTCTCTCCTCCTCTCTTTCTCATGGAAGAAATAAATAAAGATACTTAAAAACAATTTTTTGTAGGCCAGCCCCATAGCCTAGCGCTTAAAGAGGCAGGATCCCACACTGTCAACCACAGTTCAATCCAATCCCTGGTAGCTTGAAAAACATACCCAGCACATGTGTACGAATGCCCAAAACTGTGACAGAATGATAAACTGGAGGAAAAGGTACTATGGTATGACCACACCCTACTAGGAGGTACTTTCAACCTATCCCTTTCTGTCTCAATGTGTCTCTATGGTAAGCATATACATGCTCTGGCGATTGAAAAAAATTTTTTTGTACAACAATAAAACTTTCTCTTTGTTCTCCACTATATATTGACAAACACAACACAGGTTTTGATGCAAAAATATCAATAATCCAAATCCAACAACAGATAGTTTAAAACATCTCCAAATATCTTAAATATTCTATTATTCTATTTATCTTACTGTGATTAGCACAATTTGAAAACAAAAACTAGCATGCTGAAAACAAATGTACTCACACTTGTTGCAGAATATTTATAAAGGATGCATTAAAAAAAGGCAAAAACAAACACGAACTAGGAATCAAAAGCAATGATTTTATTAATGGAATTAGAATGCATAGACTGCCATCTTGCTAAAAGCAAGGACACAAAATGGTACCATTCAAAGGTTTCAAAATCACACATGATTGGTTTCACAAGCACTAACTGGTGTGAATTTCATAAAGGCAAATGATTTCGAGCTACGAGAGCTTAAAAAAAAAAACTAGAAGACAAAAAATAAAAGAAAGAAAAGAAAAACATTTAACAGGCAACCCTACCTTTCTTTTTGCTTGTGCAAGTCCCTATAGTTGAGGGAAACAAACCATTGATAAAATGTATTCAAAGTCCATTCTCTCCATGTGCAAATCAGAGTAAGAGACCATTTGTACATTTGAAACATTACATACCAGTGAAAAATTAAAGAATACCTTGAAATGACTAGAAACATTATAACTGTTGAAAATAAGTTTATAACCTAAAAAAATAAATTGAATTTTAAAATCTACAAAAATCCTTTTGGGTTAGCTATTACATAATTTTACAAAATGCTGGGTTGTCGAGAAAGTCATGACACATTTTTTGCACAGAAAAATACATGATGACTTTCTCAATGACCTATTATACTTAAAACAAGAGTTCTGTTAAATAAAACATTAAATCATGAAGCAAAGACTCTGGTGGTAAAATAAATATGTTAAATGAAGTTTTGAAGTTAAGCTCATAGCAAAATAATTAGCAACTAAAACTCGACACACCATTTTAAGTTGGTTAAGGAAAGTAAAAGAGTGGGAAATTTGGCTACATTAAACCATCATAACTTTACAGAAAACATGAATAACCAGAATCCATAATCTCCTTTAAAATTAAAACCGACTCTAGGTCTGGCCCTATGTCCTAGCAGTTAACATGGCCAACTATATGGTTAGAATCCCAGCCCTGGCTGCTTGAATCTAAGTGCATGTGTACCCCAAATGTCAACAGACTGGAGAAATGGAAGAGAAGGAATTGTATATGACCATGACCAAATGGGAGAGGTACTTTCTCCTTCTCCCTACCTTTCTTTCTGACAAGCACACATGCCTTCTGAAAACTACAAACAAAAACAAAAACACTTCAAAGGTCAAGAGTCTGTTATCCCATGGCACCCAGTTCACAGCACACTTTTTTTTCTATCAATGTCATACATGTCACTTAATTCTGACTAGAATAGTACTGTGCTAGATAGCACTGAAAACCTGAAAAATTAACACACGACAAGCCCCTTAAGAAAACAAATTTAGGAAATGAATTTTAAAACATAAAACCCATTGATAAAACTCATTACCTGAGTAAGATAGCGCCTGTAATCTTGTCGCAGTTCTTCTTTTAGTTTATGTTTCTTTCGTTCATAATCTTCTCCAAGGGGTAAACTTAATCCATACTCAATTCCTAGAGGGGAAAATTAAGTCATATAGTTCATTTTCAAACCAATCTCAATACTGGTCTACCTCCTGTAACAAAGAGCAGGAGAAAGGAAAAAGTCATGTTCACTCTGAAACCAGAATCAGGATAAGTTTTACATTCAAAATGTTTCAAAGAGTAATACACAAAGTAAAAATACAATCCCCACTCATTCATTCTAGGGATCCCACTGTCCTAACCAAAACAACCAACATTATTTGCATCTTTTTTTTAATTATTTTTGCCATAGAGCACATGTGCTTGCCAGAAAGAGACAGAGATAAGAGAAAGCACCCTCTGTCCTCATGGGGTGGGGGTGATCATGACATAATCCTTTCTTCTTCCTTTTCTCTTCCTTCAAAATTTTGGGCATGCACACACACACATCTGGCATGTTTTCAAGCCACAGATCTCTTAACCACGTAATTGGCCATGTGGGATCCAACCACCTTAACCACCACACCACTGTGCTTCTCTGGCTCCTTCTACAGATTTTTGTAGATGTCCATAAACAGATACTTTTATATTATCAAATATGTATTTACATGTGTTTTACATGTAGTTCCTGCTATTTAGATAAATGGATTGATTAGCATCTTACTTTTTCACAAAATTAAAGAAAGGCTAACTACCTTAACTTTTTCACTTAATTTTATTGTAATTTCTACAAAAATAATACCTGCAACAATTTGAATGTGCCTGCTTCACAATCTGGGTAAACATGAACACGACTTTTTTTTTTTTTTTCCACGTTTTTGCCATAGGGTCAGTGCACTCACCAAAGAGAGAGATAGAAAGAAAGTGGGAAAGTTAGAAACCACCCCCCAGGGGAATAGTCATGCCTCAGTCCCTTCTGCTCTATTCTCCTCTTGGGATTTTGGGCATGCACAAACACACACCTGGCGTGTCAGGTCCAGGACTTGAACCATGACTAGTAATGTGGGAGTCCAGTACCTTAACCACCATGTCACCTGCTGGCCCCATGAACATAATTTTTTTTAGCATATAAGAATATCATTGCAATAGCATGTTTCAGGGGAAAAAATGACTATAGAGTCATGTGTTTGGATAAAATTTCCAAAAATTTTTAGAAGTTTAACCACCAATTCTGCTTTCATATGAATGAAATTGTTTCTCCCCCAGCCCAGCCTAGGTAGCACAGTCCATAGCATAACAACTGCAGTGCTAAAGGCCACGACTGACCACAGGTTCATATTACCAAGTCGGCTTGAAAACACGCCACGTGAGTGGGCAAGGAAAAGTGACTGTGTGATAGTGTAAAAAAAACCATGTCCAGGATGCTTCTCCCTGTCTGTCTTGTGCATGCACATACACTATCTATTATGAATTTAAGAAAAAAAACCATTCCCTTTATGACAGGAGAGAAAGATAAAGAAAGGGAAAAGGAGAAAAGAGACAGGCCTCCTTGACAGTGCCTCACCACATAGCAATGCTTCTGCCCCAGCCTCCCAATGAGCCAGGATTGCAAGTGGGTACAAGTACACCCAGAGAGTTCAGGTCAGCCCTGGAACTGAACCCATACTTTCTCTGTAGCTTCCAGCCTCTCAAGTGAAGGTGCTGCTATCTATGCACAACTGCAACTGGGTTTGTCTTTTTATTGGTATTGTATTGTGGTAAAATATACATAATATAGCTACCATTTTAACCATTTGGAAGAGTATGATCCAGTGGTATTAAACAGAACCATTATCGCTATCTATTTCCAAAATTTTTCTTCATCTCAAACATAAACTCTGTGAATGGATGCTAGTTTTTGAAGAAAAGTTTAGATTCTGAGTAGGGTGTTTCCTTACACAGAATTCAAAAATCATGCACTTTATGGTTTGTAAATTATTTTTCAATAAAGCTGTTAAAAACCAAATTACATGCTTTTCAAAAATTTCATAGTAAAATGCTATTCAGGAAGCACAGATATCAGATGAGTATTCAGAAGCCTCCTTCTTTTTTCAGTCCTATTATATGCTTCAGCTGCTATATCCCATAAGGCTGAATATCTCTTACCCAAAATGCTTGGAACTAGAGGTGTTTCAGCTCGTGGGATTTTTACAAATTTTGGAATATTTGCATATACATAAGATATCCTGGGAAGGAACATCAGTGTAAACACAAAATTTGTTTTTTATATACATCATACACATAGCCTGAAAGCAGTTTCATATGGTATTTTTGTGTTGCAGTATTTTGACAGCAACCGTCACAGGAGCTCAGGTGTGGAATCTTCCACTTGTGGCATCATGTCAGTACTCAAAAAAGTTTAGAATTTTGGAGCATTTTCTATTTTCAGATTAGATATGCTCAATTTATAATATTATCGTATAAAAAATTATCACTCAGGGTCCAGCAGATAGCATGGAGGTTAAAGCAGCTAGATCTCACATTTACCAACTGCACTGTTCAAATCCAGGACCCAGCAGCTTGAAAAAAAACATCAGGTGTGTGTTCTTGTCCAGAATCCCAACAGGAGAAGGGAGAAGGGATTTCAATGTGTTCATTCCCTCTATGGGGATGCTTTTTCACTTTCCCCCTCTCTCTCTGTCTCTGGCAAATACATGTGCCCTATAGCAAAAATTTAAGTTATCATTGGGTTGGTTCACTGGCCTAATGCTTAAGACAGCCAAATCCCTCATGGTAGCCACACAGTTCAAATCCCAGTTCCAGCAGCTTGAAAAACACACTGGACACTGCCCCAAATCCTGAAAGGATAGAGAAATGGAAGAGATTGCAATGTGACCACCCTCAACTAGCTGATGCTTTCTACTTCTTCCTCTCTGTCTTTCTGTGTGTATCTCTCTTTCTGATGAGCACATATGTCCTCTGGCCAAATTATTTGGTTTTTTTAGAGAGATTTTTGCTATAGGGTGCATGTGCTCACCAGAAAGACAGAAACAGAGAGACAGAAAGCGAGAAATCACCCCCAGGGGGGATGACCACGCCACAATTCCTTCTCGTCCATTCTCCTCTTGGGATCTTGGGCACATACGCAACTGTGCCCAGCCTGAATTTAGCCCACCAGGTCCAGAATTCGAACCACGGCCAACTACATGGGAATCCAGCAATATAGTCATTACACCGACTGCTGGTCCTCTAATTTTTTTTTCTATTATTGTTTTTAAGAATTATTTATTCAATTCCACTTGTTATTATTAATTTTTAAAAATTTGACTAGAAAGAGAGAAAGAGAAAGTGAGAAAGCAAGCCACCAGGTCCAAGACTCGAACCACAGTCAGCCATGTAGGAATCCAGCGCCCTTAGCCACCATGCCACCCACCAGCCCTTAACTATCATTTCTAAACAAAATAAAATTCCCCCTTAGAGATTCAGTCACAAGCACTACAAACAAAATAATTAACTATAGCTCATGAACTGCCATGGAAAAAAATCACCAATTTGTGCCTCATCCCTCATAATGTAATCAAAATGTGTCACATCACTGCTTTATTATATCACTAAAATATTTCAGAGAGAAAAAAAGCCAAAATGGTATCAACAGAAATGCATGTCTGTTAACAGAATACTAAATTCCACCATCTACCATAAACACTGTGGAATACTTCTGATAAAAACTTCTGTACTATTTAAGCCCTCAGTAGAGGACATAGAAAGGATTTCTTAGGAACAACTCATGCATGCTCCCAAAATCCTTCCAAAAGAATCTAAGGCATTCCATATGCTTGAAATTTTCAATCATCCCAGAAAGGAACTCTCCTCACAAAGGAACCTAAGCCTTATTTCAAGAGACAGACTTTAAGCCTAAGGAAAGAAATAGTTTTCTTACATTTGGAATAGAGTATCATATGAAGCTAAACTATTAAAATTCATGAAGGCGAGGTTCATGCTTCATTCAACTTTATAGCGCCTGGCACACAACTTTTACCTCACAAAGGTTCGTCAAATTAATGCCCAAATTAATATATGAATGAGTGCTTGAGCAAGAGACAGAAATGAGGAAGAAGAAAAAAAAAAAAAACCTTTTTCGTATTTCATTTCTACTTTTAGTAATCTGACTGTATAGAGATGAAGCATAATTACTAGTTACCAAAGGTACATTTTTCTCTAGTCACACAGGGTCACAATGGATTCTCTATTGTGTCAAAGAGAAAGAGCCAATAATGCTGCAAGGGCCGTACCTCCCAAAAGGCTCCACTTTCTCATGCCAGAAATAAGCAATTGACACTTACTGACATATCATGTGTTCAAGGTGATATTTACTATGTTTTTCAATTCTGTTTGGTGGGTTAATGTGGAAAAATGAAAAAACATAATTTATTTTATTTATAAATTACTATTCATATTATGTTCAATTTTACTCATGAAGAATATATGTTTTCTACAATGGATTTAAATAGTATTTGTAATCACTGTCTTAGCAGACAAGTAACACTATATAGTGCCTTCTGAAATATTTATAATTATATTAATTAACGTTTAGTCAGTAGAAAAAACTTTTTGATTCTTATTTTTTATTTGATGCTAACATTTTTTGACACTGGAAGTAGGACATAGATATAAAATGTACAACTATGTGGAATGATTTAAATATTCTATTTGTTTTTAATGCTGTATTAACAATAGTACCTCAATTAACTCAAATGAACTAAGAAACATGGCAGGACTTACTTAGTCAGCTGTTGTCTTCTGATGGTTCTAGTGGCAAGTAAAGCACTAGTATCACTCTAGGGTCATTTGGAGTGATGTCACTTTATCAAGTATAGCATCAATGACCCAAAGATAATTAACATTGTGCCTCAAAACTATAAACAATTAGAAGGTTTATACAGCAGTTGTGAGTTAAATAAAATACTTAAGACTAAAGTACACAACTTTTTAAATTAATTTCCCTTCTAAGAGAGCATTCATAATAAACACTCTATTAGACAAATTAGAATGGAACATCTACTTTTCAGAAAACATTATGTAAGGATAATCAAAAGACAAGTTATAATAAATAGTAACAGACCTTTATATAA